GTTTTTAGTTTTCGGTTCACTTTAGTAAAATAGTGATTCTTGCACATATTTCTGAATTTTCCTTCAAACTCTGAAATTTCCTTCAAAGACAGAGATGCATATTAGAGAGCCCTTTTTACACTATGATTTTAGAACAGAAGAGGCTTTACAGTCAATTATTTATGAGCATTAAGTACTGAAAGCTTTATTATCTCAGAATAGTCAATGTTTGGCTGAAGCTTGAGAACACCAATAGCTAATCTAAAAGTCCTGATCCAGTTTCATTTAAAATAATGACAGAACTCCTATTGATTTTAAGTGAAGTAGGATGAAGCCAAAATGTGTGGTTTTGAGGGATAATTTTAGACAATCTTCTGAAAGCATCTGTGAAATAACAGAAAACTTACCTTTTGTTATCTGTATAATACTGTACAGCATATTTCAGCAGGCAATAGCTGCTTATTTTAGAATGGTTTATGTCTGCATTTTCCATTTCCTTGGAGAGTCTCATTTAAGTATCTATCTACTGAGCTGATGTTACTCTCTCTGAGCACAGAGAAACAACAGCTAGAATAGTGATGAGCAAACTTGAAAGGAGATAGGAGACTCGGTAAAAGACTGAAATATCGGCATATTTTCAGACCTTGTTAAAACCTGTTTTTTTTTTTTTTGGTTTAATGCATTTACCTTCTTTGTTGTTGTTCTTGAATCCCCAGCAAATCTCTCTGCTTGTTCTTCAGTCTAGTATGCGATGCTCTTGATCATTCTGTTGAGGCCTTTCATAGTGGTTTGTCTCTAGCAACTCTGATAAGTTTGTCAATGTCAGTCAAGAGCAGTTTGCAGTATTTGGGAGCTTCTGTCCTCTGTTATAGCTTCCATTCTCAGAAGGAAATCTTGTTTTCTGAATTTGCACAAATTACGAAGAGTGGTTTTTGATTGCATTTAGAAAAAGTTCTGAAATGTGATTTAATTGTTATTTAAAAAGTCCTTCCAATCTTAACTGCTTATGCTTCCAAAACAAAAATCCTATCAAAACTACATTTTAACAGATGTGCATTCTCATTTGCTTGTCTCAAAACTGCATTTTAGCAGGTATGTATTCTCATTTGCTTGTCTAAAAATTTCTTTTTTGCCACATTTCTGGTGAATACGATGACAAGAAATAAGAAAAGTAGGTGTATGCTCAGTGCTGTACTTTACTACAGCACAGCAACCTTGCATGGCCACTATTAGAAGTGGTGGAGTCTGAGGGTCTGCTTAGTGTCTGACCACACTTTCGTTTTGAGATTGGGTTCTATATATTGGTACTGTGAAGCTGTTATTTCTGAACAGAAGAATTTATTTTCTGAAGCAAATGAGCCTTTCACATCCTAGCGTTCTGCTGGGGTTGGGGGCTGCCCTGCAACTGCTGAGCAGCAGAGAGAAAAGCTTCTGTCTAGTGGGGAAGAGGCAGTGTCAGGAAACAGCTTCTGGATAAGCAGATATTTCTAAGCAGGGAAGTAGGACAGATACTCGGAGACAGCATCTGGCAGAGGAAGCAAAATGAACCCTCTTTTCCACAGACGGACAGAGAAGGAGGTGTAGGGATGCAGTCCCTCAAGAGCCAGAAGGTCTGAAACTCCCTAATATTTAGGTGCTGAGCTCACGCTGATTTTTTTTTCTAATCTCAGAATGTTTATTTTAAACCACTTAATAGAATCTTTGTCTAATTCATAACCATAGTGGCATCAAAGAAACTTGACATTTTTTGCCTGTTTTTTTTCCCTTTCCAACCTCAAAATGACTTTTTCTGCTATTAGACCTAGAAAATAAATACTTGGCAAAGCATGCTTGGTGCTCTAATCTAACATGCATGCTTAGCTGTCTTTCCATCTCTATACTTATAAAGGCCATAACACAGTAATATCAGATTATCAGAGAAAAAAAGGATATCGCTAAGTGATTTAGGCAAACGCTATTTAATATTTTTTTGCTAAAATAAGTGAGTTACATTCTCTCATTTCTTATTCAGTCACACATTAAGACAGATTTGACCAAGTATTTTTAGTTAGAGATTTGGAGCGGCTAAAGAAAGAAATCCTCTTAATAAAAATGGGAGCTTTTTTTTTTTTTTTTTTTTTTTTAAGCTGTCTTTTATACCAGTGTAATTACATTGACTTTCCAAGGTTTCTTCCTAATGCCTCCTTATATGAAAGAAGTATCAGGTTGTGGGCATTTTTATTTTTCTTTATGCTGTACAGGTAAAACTATCGCTGTACTTAAATTCTTCTAATAAAGGAACTATTTTGCGTAACTTTTCCTTTTTGCTAGTTGATGATACACTACAATATATAAGCAAATAAGTACCAAATAGGAATGCATAATGCAGTGCCTATTTATTTTCCTGATGATGAAGATGATAGTTTTCTATCCTTTGAGAAGTATCACAAGTCAGGTTAGGTTTCCCATAAGACTACAGAATGAGTTAGAGTTCCTGAAAGGAACAGGACAGAATTGAGTCAGATGTACTCTATAACTTTCAGCAGTTTTTGTTATCTTTTGATTCAAATGACAAGGAATATTAAGCTTCTATCTTTCAGGGGAATATTTGTCTCTTTTTTCCCAGTAGTTTTCATATTTCAACCAGCTTTCATTTTTTAACATGCTTTTGTTATTAACTGATAGAAGGTTGTAGAGGGGAAGAGAGCATCTTTTATTAGAGAGAGTGATGTAATTGGAAAAAAGCAGACAAGTTTGGACGTATAGAAACCCATGATCAGCTTTGAAACCGAAAGCAATTTCAGGATGAAAACATAGGCCAGGGACAATTGTTTTGACTTTAACTTTGTTGTAGAGATGAATTGGACAAATGGAGGAGAAAAAGATATCTGAAATTCTGTAGCAGGTAAGGTAGGTAGCGAGGCAGAGATGATGAGGTGGTTAGTCACAGTGGATCATAAAGAGGTGCTCGTGGTAAATGGGAATAGTGAGGGATTTTAGAACATGAAAAGGAAGAGATGCTTATGGTAGATGGGAACAGTGAGGGATTTTACTCTAAGCAGAGCTTGATGGAAAAAAATCTGAGTGTGGGGCTGTTGAATTTAAATCAGGAGCCACATGGGCCCGTTAGCCGGACATGACTCTGGGCTGCCAGCAGAGGTGGTGGTTCAGCTTTCGGGTGGTCGTTGGAGCACTGGAGCAGGTTGCCTTGAGAGGTTGTGGAGTCTCCATTGTTGGAGATATTCAGAAGGTGTCTGGACAGGGTCCTCGGCAACATGCTGTAGGTGACCCTGCTTGAACAGGGGAGTTGGATGAGATGGTCTCTGGAGGCCCCTTCCAACTTCCATCACTTTGATTCTTGCAGTAGGTGTCTGTCCTCACTCCCTGTCTTGGGCTAGCATAAACATCCGTGTGATCATCCGGTGGGCCACCTCGGGGAGGTGGTTTGGCCTAGCCTTTTTCTTCTCTGCTGTGGGATCTAGCCAGGTGCCTTCATTGTGCAGCTCCATGAGGCACAGCTGAAAATGGGATGAGAAGACAGCGCCCGGGAGGAAGGTAGCACTAAGCACCCTGGCAGTGCTTCAGGCTGCTGCCAGGCTGAAGTACTTGTGGGATTGTGGCCTGACATTTGATGAGAGTCAAGGCAAGGGACAAGGAAACTGAATGGCAGAAATCCAGGTACATGGGATTCAACAAATCCAACTGTACTCTAAAATTTTGAAGAGACTAATTGGATCAAGAACCAGAGTCTCATTTTCCAAAGGACAAAATGAGCTGTTCTGGTCTGTTTCAATATCCTGTCTCCGACAGCGACCAGAAGTAGGTGCGTAAAAAGTAATTTTAAGTCTTTAAATATTTAGGAGTTTCCTAGAGTTATAAAATATTTGTACGTTTCGAAGGGTAGGAATTAATTCACCTGATAAAGGCATCTGAAAATTAGTAGTCCAAGCTAGTTACTGTAGACTTCCAATCATGAAAAACAGACCTTCTGAAAAAGTGACTTAATCTCTTACAGAAATAGATGTTTCTGCCTTCTTTTAGGGCCTGTGTGGGGCCATTGACTACACAGGCAGCCTGGAGTGACTAACTCAGATTTAGGCAGTTAGTTTTTAGGCATCTGAGGACATGTGAAATGATTCTCCCTCAGGTCTCCATGACTGGAAAATAAATCCAGCAGGGATGATCTTGAGCCCTGGCCCGGGGCTGCCAGGGTGTGTTCCCAGCTGGACCTGGGATGTAGGTATCCAGCTGGATGTAGGAAAGGGAAGAGCTGAGCGGCTCCCAGCTCTGCCCTGCTGCTCCGTGCCAGAAGGCAGTGTGGGACCTGTTGTGTTTAGCCAGCTTCGATGCAGCCCTTGTCACTTGGAAATTGGGACTTCAAGTCTCTTAAGTCTTAAAAGTCTGAACCCTGGTGCAGTTTTGAAAGTACCTACATTGTACTGATTGTATTCTGAGAAGAATATGAGATTCTGCAGAAATTCTTATCTTTTAAAAAACGTAATCCTTATATATTTATCCAGGCATTCATTCTCTGGGCATTAAATTCAAATGGAGATTATTCTTTTTAAATGTTTGGATAGATCTATGCTATTCTTTATTTTTTTTATTCACTGCTAAAATAATACCACTGCTTTGGAAATGTGTTATATTCTTAAACTTGATAACTTTTTTTTTTTAAGCATCAGGAAACCTTTGTAACTCTTTTTTTTTTTTTAAAGAGATTCATTTCACTGAAAACTGCAGCAAATTACTAGATGAGATATTTGAGTTCCCCAGGAAACTCTTACGACACTGAATTCGTGCTCACAAGCTGACCTTTGTTTCATTATATAAGAAAAAAGTGATCTTTATGAAAGTCACATAAAAGATAAGATCAACATGGTGGACTGGTAATTACATAAAGTAATGTTCAATCATTAGACAAAATGTACAGTTGATCCTATGGCTTAGTTGTGGGCGAGGAATATGATCCCACTTTACTGGTATAAAAGAAAGATGCAACTTTTTCATACTTCAGTTTCAGGAACATACATCTAAGCTGTAAGGAGAGCTCTTGTTCTAACACCATCCTTCAGATTCCCAACTGTCTGATTTATTCTATTTGAACAAGGGAGGTAATATCTTTTAAAATATTCTTTGCTCTATTTAAGAGGATCAATTCCATATTTTTCTGCTTTCCTTTCTGCCTCTCTCCAAAGTTTTCTTCTCTTTCTTGCCTCTCAAAGTTTTTACTTTGCAAGTTAAGCTAAAAGGTTGCATTGGAGTAACATGTGTGCTTGAGGTTGAAATGGTTTTTAAGTATAAGAAATGTGAGGTCCTAGAATTCTATAAAACACAGTTAAATAATGATTTTTTGTGTGATTTCTGTTTGGGTCCAGTAATGCTTGATCAGTAACCTTGTGTTTTTCTCTAGGCAGAAATGCTACTGGCCTGATATCAAATATTAGACAATCTATGGTACGAAGACATGTTTTGGAGTCTTTAAATTGGTTAAATATGTTAAGGAAAAGGAAAAAAAAAAAAAGATTTCTGAGTCTTTAGTGTTTTGCCAACAGGTTACTGTATAGAGACCCATAAGGAAGACACTGGCACTTTTATTTCATTGTTGCTGTGGCAGAGCTATGCATCACTTCTAAATATTCTAGAAAGGAATGAACAGAATATGCAAAATATTTAACTGTTGCTGAATATGATGTCGTTAGGGGCACCATAAAGAAGAGTATGCAGGGTCATCCCAAGTTATATTGAGTACATTAGATGGTGTCATCCAGTCAATTCAAATTGATAATATGCCCATATAATCAAGTTTGCTGGCATGCCTCTGAAAAGACAGACTGCAGAATTTGACTAAGGATTTTCATACAATGGAGTTTGACACAAATGTAAAAACAGCCTCAAAATCTACCTGAAAAGAAAACCTATTTGCAAATACATATGATCAGCTGTCTGTATCATGATAACTGATAATATGATAACGTACAGAAAAAGAAAGAAACGTATCTGTAGATAGGGAGATGACACTTTAAGGACTAGGGAAGACTTAAAAATACCATATTTTCAAAGATCTGCTAAAATTCATGCATTATATAATCTTCCAATAGCTTAGGAAAGATGATAATTAATAGAGCAAAGTAAAAACTTCCTTTGATTTAATGGCGAAGTTAGTGAACTAATGTGGTTACTAGGTGGGTCAGCATCATGAGCACTGTCAGAAAACCAAATGTATTGAGGAGCACATTGATAAGAGCATCAGGCAAAATCACTATCACATTAGAATAGTGGAGAGATCACATCTGGGTTCCATTTGGTGGTGTGAAAGTGATTGTCTGACTCAATGGTAGAGGTGCAAAACTGCAATTTCAAATCCCTTTTTGGCTAATGTAATTTAAACAACTTCCGTCAGGGATTGCCTCGAACTTTTATAATACACCAAAGTATAATGTCCTGTGTTTAAATAAATAAAGGAGGGCCAGCACTGCCACATCTTCAGCAGTGAGCATGAGGTTACAGAATAGTCAGTCAAGTCCTGAGGTTAAAGCTACCTGTGTGTCCCCGTAATGTGAACTGTTGCCTTTTGAGTGCTTTGTGCATCTCTTTGCTCAGTGCAGCGATGCCTGTGGGCCTGCGTGTAGCACTCGTGTTCCCGGGTATTGCGGGGAGCTGGTCAAGTTTGGAGTGTCCCTCGGCTGATCGCTGTGCTCCTTGCACCCGTCCTGGTGCTCCAGGTTCCACTCAATGTTAGGTAACCATGCCAGGAAAGCAGCTTTACTCCGTGGACCCCCTCGGGTTTGTCTCTTCCTGCAGATGGGAGTGGATGTTGTTTGAACATCTGCATCATCGTGGTGGTGGTTGTTGCAGGGCTTCTGGTGAGTAGGTGCGAGATCTGAAAAGAAGTAAGTTGTTGTTATATGAAAGCTGCCTTTATTTAATCATACTCTCCCCCCTGGTCTGTCTGTCTTTGTTAGAGAAGTGAATGTTTTCCCAGATTGCAGTCACATTCTTAAATGATTCTATGCCAAATCTCAAGATTAATTTCTTCATGGTTGACATTATCATCCTCCTTGAATTTAGAAATATTTGGTGCCACAAGATGATCTCTCCCTGGAGAATTTGTCATGCAGTAGCAGCATTCAATGGGGCAGCTAGAAAAGGTGTCTTAAGTAGCAGAATAACGGAATATATATTTTTTTTCTTGCTAAGCAGTAGCTTTCAGAATGTCAAATGTATAAATCAGTCTTGACAGCCTTATCCTGTACATCAGGCACAAGAACGCTCGTGCTCTTGTGTTGCAGTTTCTCTCTTCAAAGGCTGCAGATCAGGTGGTCTATGAGGACACACAAGAAACTATTCAAAGGATCCACCTGGAAGAGTTTGGCTATAAGATACTGTCTGTGCTGCCTGCAGTGCAGACGTAGCCTGCACAAGTTTGAAATTGGCTTTAAGATACTGTCTGTGCTGCCTGCAGCGTAGCCTGCACAAGTTTGAAATTGGCTTAAGGCATGGCTCAGGGGTGCAGGTGCTGAAGAAGGGAGATCTACATGATCGTCAGACAGCTTTTCTGAGAAGAAAGGTAAATAGTTTGGCAGTTAGGTGCTCCGAGCTCCACGGTGCTGCAGGTGGGTTGTGCCTTGGGTGGTTACACAGCAGCAAAACCCCCTCTCCTCGGGGTAAGTACGAGCAGTGGTGAACTCCGAGTCCCCGCAGGGTAATGTGCAAGGGCAGCAAAGGTGCCCTGTTGGAATGCACACGAGGTGGCTGCAATAAAAACCCTTGAAACACAATCCCCAAATTGGGTCCCAGGCAAGCCTGGTTGGACAAAAGAGTGCTGGCTGTCCCTATTATCTGCACGGATTGCCCCGGATGTGGAATTTAATACTTCGGCATCATTTATATAGCACTTTTCTCCATGCACCCAGTTACTTCACCATGGGATATAAATTATTCCTGTTCATTTCTAAAGGAAGGGCTGAGGTCTATGCATTGCAAGAAAAGTTTCTTTTTAAGGGGAAATTCTATTTCTGAGGAAGAGACTGAGCCAAAACTGTTTTTGACTGGGCACATAAAAATTGCCAGGGAAATAAGGAAGCTCACTGTTGGGAAAGAAGCTTACAAGCTTTATGCCCAAGATGCATGTTTTTAAAACAAGATCTGAAGCGAGGTTCGCTATTTCATTTTATGTATTCGGAGTTGAGCTTAATTTAGTATTTTTAGAAGTAGCGTTAATTAAATGTTTATAACATGAAAAATGAGGTTTGCTATTTCATTTTATGTATTTGGAGTTGAGCTTAATTCAGTATTTTTAGAAGTAGTGTTAGTTAATTAAATGTTTATAACATGAAAAACTCAAAAAATGTGTGACGTCTTTACGCTTGTTTTAGCCTAACTCAGATCCCACCTGGCTTTCCGTAAAAGGAGGTCCTCCTAGTCATGCCACACAAGTGTAGGAGCTGAAAAGCAACAGGTCTTTAAGACCAATCTCCTGTCTCTTACCAGGTTGGCACAAAACACTTCAAAATAATTTAGAAGTTCCTATGGAAGTTACCAAGAAAGCATCTTGCTCCTGTGCGCATAGCCTTTAATTGTGTAGGATATCCAGACCTTTAATTATGTAGGAAAAGAATGAAGATTTCCTTTCCTCATCCATGAATTCTTACTGTGATTGACAATGATAACAAATATATTTATTTTAAAAAATGAGCAGAGAGTTTGGAATGATGTTCCCCCAACCCCAAGCTGTGTGCTCCAGTCTGCCTGTAGTTCATGCAGTTATTCCTGTCAGAGCTGTGCATTACCCTGTGGTACAGATCTGGTCTGGATCCCCAACGCAGCAGCATTTTTGCTAAACTACCCTGGGAGCAGGTGATAACGTATTTATGGCCGCTTCATCTTGTGCAGTAGATGGACAGTATGATCTTGCAGATGGACAGATCATATAGTGCAGCATATAGCCCTCTAGCATAAAACTAAGCCATTGAAAAGATTTAAAAAACTCGAGGCCACCAGCGTGTGCTTATACCAGACCAGATCTTTGCCATCTTCATCCATTACTTGAGGCCCCAAAGGCGATTTGTGGGGGATCCCCTGGTGATGTTGGGGTCCTGGGCCTGTGCAGAGCCCATGGAGCTGCCCCTGATCACCGCTGCCTCTGCCTCTCTCCTGGCCTTGGAGCTGCTGCCCTCCCGGGAGGCACCTGGGAACCCCCCTCGTGGGATCACGGTTACTGGGGGCTGGTTTCTGTAGCGGCTCAGGTCAGAGGAGCTTCATTCTGCCTAGGGACAGGGCTGTGAAAATCTCCTTTTGGGGACGTTGGTGTACGGACAAATATCTGACTGCCATCTCGTGTGAAGTTATTTCCACTGAGAGCGGTATGTTTTTTCTGAAATTAGTTTATTTCTGGCTCAGATTCAGATTGTTTTGCCATCTCCATAATCACTTGCTAGCTTTATCCAGCCTACCATAAATATTAGGCAGCTGCAGCATTTGAAGTTCATGTGCTATGATTTATGTTGATATTCAGAACAGCACAGTTTTGTTATGATGGTGATAAAGGCAATTCTCTGAGGCTGTAAAGTGCTCATCGGTATACTACTCTTTTGGTTTCTGGTCCTGGTTCTAAATTGTCTCCATTACTTGCATCGATACTGGTACTGTATTCAGTGCAAAATAGTCCTTTAAAAATATGTTTATTTGTATTTCCAGAAGAATCATGGACTACTACGGGAAGTATGCAGCTGTCACTTTGGCCATTTTGTCTGTATTTCTGCATCTTCTTCATTCTTTCCCAGATGGAGAGTTCCTCATGCAGGGTAAGTTGCTTTAAGCGTTCAGAACTCGGATACTTGTTTGTAAAGATATTAATTAATCTGTCACAATAAGTTTTAACATTCAGTTGCATTTATTGGCATTGATATATGAAGGTATAATGAACCAGGACAATTTTGACATAAGTATACTTCCTATTTCTTCTCTAAACTTGGTTTCTCCAGGTCAGAAGTTTTTCCCAGATGGCAATGCCCTTATGTTCTTGTGGGTAATCTCAATTTGTGGAATACTTTCAAATGCAAATGTGTCATTTTTTTTATTTGGTTTTGTTTTGTGA